AAACTGAGCTTATTAGGGGATATCAGATGATAAATAGTGGGTCATGGTGGGAAAAATAATTTTATCTTAATGGAAGTTATAATATTTTCAAAGAATAGAGTTATACCATCTAATAGGAACAATGAAATAGACATGACTATTAATGGAATGAAAGAATACGTAAAATTTCCAATTTAGTGAGGGAAAAATGGTAACTTGATCAGCCCCTCAAACATAAGGAAGAGACACAAGAACAATATAAAATGACTAATAAACAGAAGGTAAGATGGAAGGAATAAAATCAATGACAATAGTTATTATGTTAAATAGAAACAGATTGAGTAGCAAAATAAAAAGCCTGATATCAGGCTGGCTACAAAAGTAAACCTAGCTATATGCTGTTGATTGCTTTTTAATTAGTGAGTTTATAAGAATGTTTCAAATACAGAAATGCATACAAATGATACTGGGACATGCAAAATAAGTCATTCAATAGAGTCAATATAAGAAAAGGAGAAATAGCATAAAAAGGAATATTGAGTAGAAATAAAAGACAAATTTACTTTAAAGACAAGTTTAAAAATATGGATGTACCAAACAACATGCCAGCTAAAATATTTTAAAAAATGAAATGTTACTAAAACAGAAAATCCACATATCAGTACATTTGGTTCAGATGACCAAAGACTTTCTTAGTATCTATTACTGTGCTATAATTTCATCTGTCGTTTTCATTGAAGACTAAGCAAAGAAGGAAATTAAAAACAAAACTTTTTGTTTTTTGAGACAAGGTGTCACTCTGTCACCCAGGCTGGAGTGCAGTAGTATGATCAAGCCTCAGCATCTCTGGTTCAAGTGATTTCCCCACCTTAGCATCCTGAGTAGCTGGTACCACAGACACGCATTACCACACCCTGTTAATGTTTTTTTGTTTGTTTGTTTGTTTGTTTTTTAAGAGAAAAGGGAATTCACCATGTTGCTCAGGCTTAAAAGCCAATCTTTCACATTTAGAATAAAGATTTGCTACTAGTGTTGTTTTAGTAAAGAGCAAGAAACTGAACTGCAATGTTATTTAACATTTCTTTGAAGATTTTAGCAAACGGATTAGCAAAATAGCCACAAAGACATGGCAAGAGAAGATTATCCTTGTTACTAATGTGTTATTTTGTTCCTAAAAAACCTCAAGGAATCTTATTTTTAAAAAAGAATTATGAGCATTTGCTCAGGTTGCCAGATATAGGGTAAATACACAATGTCAGTTGCTTGTCTTTATTCGCACACTAAGAATTTAGAAATGAAAATGCAAATAATTATTTAGAATAATATGATACAACTGTGAAATAGTGAGAAATTCAGCAAGATAAGCATAAGACCTATGTGATAAAAACTAAAATTTTTCTGACATAAAATCTGAACAAATGGATTGACATTTCTTATCCTTAGATGAAAGTTCCAGTAGTGTGTAAATGTCAAGACACCCAAAATAAATAGACAGATTTAAAGCCTTTTTATTTCATATTTCACTATGGTTATTTTTGAAATAGGATGGAAAAAATATAAAGGTTATGTGGAAAAAATAAATGCCTAAGAAAGAAAATTTACTGAGGGATTAATTGGTTACTCAAATCAGATTTAATAAATAAAACACTATAAATTCATTACAATCAATATAATATTAAAAATAAGTAGGTCAGTGAAATAAAATTTAGAGATGTATTTTTGTATATAATAGAACTGAACACAATGGTGATAATTGATTAGGAAAAGGATATATTAAGAAAGGATAAATTCTTTATGAGTATTGCTGATACTGTTGAAGGAAATAAATGTGAATTTTCTTATGTATTACAATACAGTGAAGTACAAATAGGTTAAGTCAAATTAAAAAATAAAACAGAATCTTGGATTAGGGTCTAGAAACAAACTGAATGAGAAAATATTTGAGTTTGTCAAATCTTTTGAATGGCAGAAGAGGCTATAAAAAAGGTCAATAGGATAAGACAATAATACCAACCTTGCATATATAATGTAGATAACAAAGTATTTATAGCAATTGCATGTAAAATCCTCTTATAATAAATAATAAAAAGATATTTTAATAGGATAATGGGTAAAAACCAAAAATAGTTTAAACATGAACAAATTGAAATGATCAACAAGTTTATGAAAAAATTCAAATTAAATGAACAACAAAGGTTACTTTCTATCCATCAGACTAATAATATTTTGTCATGAGTGTGGTAAGAAGGTGGTAAGAATGTGAAAATCACATTCTTACATGTGATTTTCTTCAAAGTGATTTGTCAAAATATATTGACTTTAAATGCATCTACCCTTTGACTCAGCATTCCCACATATGACAGTTAATCCCATAGAATAAAAGCAGCCTTAAATAAGAACATATGTATATGAGTGATTTTTGGTGCATTGTTTGTAGTCACATAAAACCAAAACAAATATAAATGCTGTCAGAGGGAATGATATATAAATTGTGGTGCAGCCACATATCATATACTATTATACAGTCCTTAAGAGAATGGCTAACACTTTGGGAGGCTGAGGTGGGAGAACTGCTTGTGCCCAGGAGTTAGAGATCAGCTGGGCAGCATAGTGAGACTCCCTCTCTAAAAAAATAATAAATAATGAAAATTAGTAATGTGGAGACACACACATGTAGTCCCAGCTATTTGTGAGGCTGAGGTGGGAGAATTGCTTGAGCCCTGGAGGTCAAGGCTGCACTCCAGATAGGGTGAGGCCCCATCTCAAACAAACAAACAAACAAACAAACCCAAAATGGGTCAGGAGTAAATCAGATTATTGATGGGGCAGGGTGGTGGCAGGGTGGTGGTAGTTCCTAGAGGTATGTAGATGTATAGTCTAACAAAGGCAAGGTAATTTCCCATCTTTTTAAAAGTGGTAGCTATGATGAAAAATTCTTTTATTGTAATTTATGTAGTTGGATGCATATTTATATCTGTAGAATTATGAGTATGGAGCAAACTATTCAAAGTTGTATCATCAGTTGTTAGCAGTTGCAAGGGCGGATGTTGCTCTGGGTTAGTTGGAAGACAGTACACAGAAGGTCAGTGAGGGACTTTCAGTGGAATCAAGTGGAAAAGAAAACAAGTGCACATGTTAAAGAATCATGATTGTGGTTATGTTTATATATTTATGTAAAATTATATGTGTATAGAAATAAGATTTTAAAAATTATAGTCTCTTTTGGACTTATGATTTCAGGATAAGTTGAGCCTACCTACCTCTTTTCTTCTTAAAATGTGTAAAGAACCAAAAATTACATAAAACTTAGAAAATGGCAACATGGAAGGATGTCACTAAGTAGCCTGAGAGTTTGAAGAATTTTTGGTATTTCTGCAACAGACAGAATCAGATAGAGAAATGCCCCTCAGGGCTGACTGACCTTTGATTCAACACAGGCAAGGAATGGCTACCCAGGAAGTCAATGGATGGGATTCACCCAGAAGTAGGTAGGTCCACAGGTATAGAGTAGCAAAATACTGGAACATGATAGGGAGAGGGAGAGGATAGAGCATAGATAACGAAATGAAGTCCCTCAAAAGATTATCTGTGGATTCTACCTGTGAGAATCCTGATTTCCTGCAATGGGTTTTTCTTGCCATGACATTCAAATCTTGAAGACATTGAAATAATATTATAGAAGGGGGAAATAAAGTTTGTGAATCAAGAAGTCTATACTCAGTTCTATATGATGGGTGAGTATTGTAGTTTAGATTATTGTTCAGCAAATGCTCACTCTCTCTCTTGTCCATTCTGGGCAGAATGTACTTTTCTGCCCTCTTTGAGAGGGCAGACTTGAGTTTGGCCTTTTGACTTGCTTTATCCAGTGAAATGTTTGTGGGCATGATGTGAGCAGAGGCTTGAAATGTGCTATATGATTGGGCTTGGTTCCCTGAAGTCTGCTGACCTCCACCACAAAAAGAATATGTCTTGCTAGCTTCCAGTCTTTGTACCTGATCCAAAATGAGACCAGTAAAATAGTCACCCTGGTTGGTCTACAGCCTGGAGTAGAGCTGTAGACTTTAGGTGTTCCCACACCTAAAGTGTAGGAACAAAGGCTTATTGTTGTGTGCACTGAGATTCTGTGGTTAGTTCGTGTATTAGTACATTATCATACTGCTATGAAGAAATGTCCAAGACTGGATACTTGATAAAGAAAAATAGCTTTAATGACTTCACAGTTCCACATGGCTGGGGAGGCTTCACAGTCAACAGCAGAAGGCAAAGGAGAAGCAAAGCTATGTCTTACATGGTGGCAGGCAAGAGAGCATGTGCAGGGGAACTGCCCTTAATGAAACCATCAGATCTTGTGAGACTTATTCACTATCACAAGAAGAGCATGGGAAAAACCTGCCATGATTCAATTACCTCCTACCATGTCCCTTCCATGACACATGGGGATTACAGGAGCTACAATTCAAGATAAGATTTGGGTGGTGACACAGCCAAACCATATCATTCCACCCTTGGCCTCTCCCATATCTCATGTCCTCACATTGCAAAACTAACATGCCCTCTCAATAGCTCCTGAAGTCTTAACTCATTTCAGCATTAACTCAAAAGTCCCAAACTTCAATTCTTGACCTCTGTATACCCATAGGCTCAACACCACATGGAAGCTGCCAAGGCTTGGGGCTTGTACCCCCAAAAGCCACAACCCCAGCTGTGCCTTGGCCCTTTTAGCCATGGCTGGAGCAGCTGGGACACAGGCCACCAAGCCCCTAGGCTGCACACAGCAAGGGGTCCCTGGGCCAGGCCCATGAAACCATTATTTCCCTCTAGGCCTCTGGGTTTGTGATAGGAGGGACTGCTGGGAAGGTATCTGCTATGCCCTGGAGACATTTTCCCCATTGCATTGGTGATTAACATTGGGCTCCATGTTACTTGTGCAAATGTTTGCAGCAGGCTTGACTTTCTCCCCAGAAAATGGGTTTTTCTTTTCTGTTTCTTTTATATTGTATCGTCAGGCTGCCAATTATCTCAACTTTTATGCTCTGCTTCATCTTGAACACTTTACTTTGGTGCTTAGAAATTTCTTCCAGTAGATTCCCTAAATCATCTTTCTCAAGTTCAAATTTCCACAGATCTCTAGGGCAGGGGCAAAATGCCGCCATTTCTTTGTATAGCAAGAGTGACCTTTACTCCAGTTCCCAACAAGTTCCTCATTTCTATCTGAAACCACCTCAGCCTGAACTTTATTGTCCATATCACTATCAGCAGTTTGGTCAAAGTCATTCTACAACTCTCTAGGAAGTTCCAAACTTTCCTACACTTTCCTGTCTTCTGAGCCCTCCAAATTGTTCCAACCTCTGCCTGTTACCCAGTTCCAAAGTCACATTCACATTTTTGGGTATCCTTTTATAGTAGCACGCCACTCTACGGGTACCACTTTATTGTATTAGTTCATTCTCACGCTGCTAATTAAGACATACGTGAGACTGGGTAATTTATAAAGGAGAGAGGTTTAATCAATTTACAGTTCCACAGGGCTAGGGAGGCCTCAGGAAACTTGCAATTATGGCAGAAGGGGAAGCAAACACACCCTTCTTTATGTGGTGGCAGCAAGGAGAAGTGCAGAGTGAAGGGGGAAAATCCTCTTATAAAACTGTCAGATCTCATGAGAACTCACTAGGGAAAATCCTCTTATAAAACTATCTCATGAGAACTCACTATCATGAGAACAGCATGGAGGTAACCCTCTGATTCAATTACCACCTACCAATTCCCTCCCATGACACATGGGAATCATAGGAACTACAGTTCAAGATGAGATTTGGGTGGGGACATAGCCAAACTGTATCAGTCACCTTGTAGCCCATTTAAGAGACAACATTTTCCAGACTCCTTTGCAATTACTTCTGATCTTACAACTAAGTTCTGACCAAGATGTAGCGCACATAATGAATGAAGTTACAAGGAGTCCCCTTTTTCTCTTGTTGCCTGGAATGTGGATATGAGAGCTGGAGCTCCAGAGCTATACTGGATCTTGAATCAGTCTGCCAAGGATTTGGTGGCAGCAAGGTAAAAAAAAGCCTGATGACATTGGAGCTGCCATCCCTTCCCTGGACTGCCTACTTTTAGGTTCTTTTTATGAGAGAAATAAGCTATTTTACTTAAGATATTGTTATTTTTCTTATTGTTTTAGTTATTATTTTTAAGACAGGATCTCACTCTGTTGCCTAGGCTGGAGTGCAGTGGCATGATCGTGGCTCACTGCAGCCTCAATATCCTAGGCTCAAGCAATCCTTCTGCCTCAGCCTCCTGAATAGCTGGGCTACAGGCACATGCCACCATACTTGGCTAATTTTTAAACTTTTTGTTGAGATGGGATTACACTGTGTATTGCCTAGGATGGTCTCCTTTTTCTGGGCTCAAGCAATCCTCTTACCTCTGCCTCCCAAAGTGCTGGCATTACAGACATGAGCCACTGTGCCCAGCCTTCTTATTATTGTTGTTGCTAGAGTTACACGCGAGGTGCCACCAGTCTTTGTATAGCAAGAGTGACTTTTACTATAGTTTCCAACAAGTTCCTCATCTCCATCTGACAATATCTCAGCCTGGACTTCATTGTCTGTGTTACTATCAGCATTTCGGTTAAAGCCATTGAGCAAGTCGTTAGGAAATGCCAAACTTTCCTACATCTTCCTGTCTTCTTGAGCACTCTACGTCTCTAGGAAGTTCCAAACTTTTCCACATTTTCCTGTTTTTGTTCTGAGCCCTTCAGACTGTTCCAACCTCTGCCTGTTCCTCGGTTCCAAAGTTGCTTCCACATTTTTGGGTATCTTTATAGCAGTACTCCACTCTACCAGTACCAATTTACTGTATCAGTCCATTTTCATACTGCTATGAAGAAATTACCTATACCGCTGTAGGTAATTTATGAAGAAAAAGAGGTTTAATGGACTGACAGTTCCACATGGATGCATAGTCCTCACAATCATGGCAGAAGGTGAAGGAAGAGCAAAAACATGATTTACATGGCAGCAGGCAAGATAGTGTGTGTGGGGGAACTGCCCTTTATAAAGCCATCAGATCTCATGAGACTTACTCACTGTCATGAGAAAAGCAAGGGAAAAACTTGCTGCCATGATTCAATTATCTTTCTCCAGGCTTCTCTCATGACACGTGGGGATTATGGGAGCTACACTTCAAGATGAGATTTGGGTGGGGACTCAGCCAAACCGTATCTGTTGGTATATAACAATAGTTGAATGAAGCAATATTAAAACAAAAAACTCCTTTCTGTTGTTATTATGCAGACCTAAGGAAGTATATGCCCATCTACCTTCTCTAGAAAAAAAAAATTGACCTTGAATAAATACTATGCCAAATGAAAACAAATTATACTAAGGAACAGAGAAAGGAGTGGAATGAAAGAAACCACAGCAAACACTGAAACCAGTAAAACTTGTGGTTAAATTTAACTGACTTCATAAGAAACTTGTGAAGCTTAATGCACTTTTTAGGAAAAGATTTTCAAAATCCAAGAGCTGTACTGCTAATTAAAAAATTGGAAATCTAATATCAATATTATCCAGGAAGGTGACAGGAAAAGGAAATTAAAACCATGTTTATGGTCATATTTTATTAGAGGGTAAGATCATATATAGTGTTAATTCTGGATGATGATAAATATAGGTTCAGATGTGCTGCTAATACAAAAGAAATATGGCACAGACGGTGAATTTGTTTCCTAACCAGGGTACCAAATAAATATGTTGCCTTTCTCTTGGGCAAAGTTTGAATAGATTTGCTAGTAGCCCCTTTAAAATAATTGGTATTTCCTGAACTCAACATCCACTGCACCTTGAGGTACCTTGAGTCACCCTTTGGGACCAGGCAGCAAAGAGAGCCCCTGAGAACATAAAGCTAATACTGCCTTCTGCGTTGTGAACAGTAACATCTTTTATCTCTCACCCAGGAGTCTCATGACTTGTGTCAGCATCTATGAAGCCATTGGCAGACTAATTTGTTATCTTGCAAATAGTCTAAGATTTTAGTCTTAGGCTCTTAGAGTCTTCACAAACATTGTGCTGCACCATTTGTTAAATGTTTTTAATATAACTGTTGGATAAAAGACACAGTGTACCCAGAATGAATATAATTTCCATAAAATTTTTGTAACACAAAACAACCTAGGAACTGAATATATAGAATGAAAACTTCTAGAAGTAGGTTAATTTTGTATTTAAAAAAAACACACACATAGTTGAGAGACTATCACAATTCTTTGAGAATTTAACAGATAAAATGAGCAAATGTAAGTAATCTTGGGAAATTTGGCCATCATCCTTAAAAAGCTTGAGTGGGTATATATTGATTATTTGTGAATATAGATTGGCACACACATACATACCATCTTATTTAAAAGATAATGTAAATTAACTGCCCATGAAACAGTTAGAAACATGAAATATATATTGTAGGCCTCAACAGAAAGTTAACAAATTCTCAAGAGTAGAAATAATTCAGCCTTTGTTTGCTTTCCTACATCCATTTAAACTAGAAATTCAGAATAACTAAAACTTCTAACAGAACTAAGCATTTTTCTAAATAATTTGAGGATCAAAGAGGATATCAGATGTGAAATTAGACTGCAGAATTGGTAAGAAATGTACTCTATAGAAGAGATTATGGTAATTGGGCAAACCATAATTGGTAGGAAATTTATAACCTAGGCTTTTATTAAACAAACTGATCCCAAAATAAATGAAGGAAGAATTCAGGCCTAGAAAACTGTCTTAACTAACTTTTTCTTGGAAATGATTCTGGTTCTCATGGCTAAATATAAGCCTGTGTTAACACGTTGTTCCATTTTTAGAAAAGAAAAAAATACAGCTCTTTACACTTTAAAGGAAATAATTTGGTTTGAGATGACTTTTTTGTCAGTTATTATGTTTCTAGAGTGTGTGTGTGTGTGTGTGTGTGTGTGTGTGTGTGTGTGTGTGTATGGTTTTTGTAGAAAAGACTTGAATATCAATTTTAGCAAAATATTTTTTAACTTCAAAATCAACTTTCAATAATTTACACCTACCTTTAGAGATTAATATATGTGGCAGTAGTCAGTGGCTGAAATTGAAAATGTAATTGAAAAGTTATTTTCTTTCTCTTTTTTATTTTAATATCTAAAATGCTTGCAAGGCTTCAGTGTCTCTGAACTACATTGATTTTTCTAGCTATTTTTCATTTTTTTGTAGCCTATTAATACAAATTTTGATCTATAATATATAAAGATTATGCAAGACAGAAAACTAACCAGACATAAATTTATAATCTGTCTAGTGTCAGAACAAACAGGGCGAAGGACAATGTGATTGCCAAACATTCAGAGACCAAAAGTAGTAAGAGCTAGCTGTCTTCATTTCTTTAAAATGTGAAAGGTAATTTAAGGAAAGCTTTGCAAGAAAACTGGGATGATGATTTGAAGTACAGTTATGAAAAAGTAGTTTGCTACAAGTAGAAAAGGTTTTTTAAAAAGTTCTTTTTATGCCAACCTTTTTCTGTGATTAAAGCAGTGCCTGAAAAAGCAATACTTGTTCACTGCACAACATAAAGGATGTGTGTAAACATATAAAAATAGTTTGTATGAATCCTCCAGCTCTTTTAGGAAGCCTTTTCTGAACTTCTGGTCTGGGCTGTATTCTTTCCTTGTTTGCCAAGATAACGTCTTCGTTTTTTCATAATGTTTAATGCCTAGTATTAAGGTGATCTGTTTATCTTTTCTGTCTTTTCTGTAGGTATCTTTAAAGTTTAAACAATGTTTTCATTTTCATATTATCAGCAGTTTAGTGCTGATAATTTAGTGCTGTAATGAATAAATGGCATTAAGTAAATGAATATGGATATCACTAATTACAATAAAGATTGGCTTATTATAGAAAAAGAGTTACTGGTTTAAGTAGTATAAACAGGCTTTAGGCCTTAGGCCAAGGAGTTTTTCAGAAATGTTCTATCAGTTTCTATGTTCACCAATAAGATTTGAGTTTCCGTATCACCATGTCCTTTGCAGCATTTAATACTATAATTTTCAAGTCTTTGTTAATTTAATCAATAAAAAACAACCTACTTTAATGTGCTTTCTTTTCATTACTAGAGCAGTTGGACATTTAAAATAATTTAAGAACTCATGTGAATTGTTTGTGTTTTCTGACCTCCATTATAATGAGATCTAACTCTAATAAAGTTATTAACTTTTTGCTCATTTCATGTAGTACAGTTTTCTACCCATTTGCTTTTTAATTTTCTTTAGAATCTATGTTGATAAACAGAAGTTTTGTCTATTTAAAATTGTTGTTTTTTTTGTCATCTCCTTTGCCTAGAAAGTCCTTCTTTGTCAAGAGCTCGGATTTTTACCTTTATTTTCTTGTAACTTTATATGGCTTAAGTATCTTATCTATGCATCGTCTGTTGTAGTTACTGGATCTGCAATAACTGTGCATGTGGATTTGAGAACTGACATCAGCTTCCCATCTAGAAACATATGGTATGTCTCTCCAATTTTTAAGCCATCCTTTAAATCTCTCAGTCAAGATTTTTTTTCTTTATATAGAATCGTTGAGCTTTTTTTTTTTTTTTTTTTTTTTTTGTATTTCAGTTTGTGATTGCTTTTGCCAGTGGATTTTTCTGTTACCTTAAACAATTATCCTTACTATACAGGAAAGCTGTTGATTTTTTGCGAATTTAACCATATATATTGAATTTACCAGACTCCCTTATTGGCAAATAAGTAGTTACTCAATTCGTTCTGGTTTTCTGATGGAATGTAATATCTAAAAGTAAAATGGCTTTTAAAATTTTGATCTGGCTTTCAATGGGACTCTCATTAATTTTTTGCCTATTAGGGATGCTGTTTATTTTTGCTTTATGATTTATTTTGTAATGTAATTCCCATGATTTCTTTATTTTAATTTTTATCAAAACTGAGTATTGAATTTGATTAAAAAAAACCTTTTGGGCAGGTATTAAGATCAGTTTGTGGTTTCAAAATGTTTGGACTATTGAAGCGATGCGTTGACTACATTTTTACTATGAACCATTCTTGAAGAAATATGACAATCTTGGTGGATACCTATTTTAATATAATTGATTCCCTTTTAATCTTTCAAATATTTAGTGTAATCACAATATTCAGGGGTTTTTATAGGCTATTGGAATCCCACCTCTGTTCTTCGATTCTCATCTTAGTAGTATTACATGATCACTCCAACTGAATTCTAAACTTTGTTTTCTTTCGCTCCTCCATGTTAAGGGTATCAGCTCAAAACCGGTTCTTACACTAAATACATGAAATCTCTTCTTCTATCCATCTCCCCACTCTTCCTCACTATTCTTCACCTGGTCTGTTGGAACTGTCTCCTGAGTTGTCCCCCCCCTTGATTTTTCTCTTCCTAACACAAATATGATCATGCCAGTTAAGTGGTTAAAGTTAAGTGATGGCATCACATTACCTTCACTGTGAAGTTGAAACTCTTTTTCTGAGTTATTTCCAGATTGGACTGTTGTCAGGTCTCCACAGTTTCTCTTTTTTAGACTTACTGCATCACTTAACTTTACAGAAACATGATACAGAGTCCTCACAGCCTAGAATGATCCACTACTTTGTTTTCTTGGTGACCACAACTTCCCTCTTTGGCTTGGAATCCACTTCATCCTGGGAGTGTTTTACAACACTGTGGCTATTCACACTGATTTT